GGGCTGGTCCTCGGCCATCGCCGAGGGACGCAGCAGCCTCCCTGCCCCGGTGGTTAGTCGTCAGGTAGGTAAGGTGGAACGGATGTTGGGCCTCAGGCCCGTGACGTCACACAAGGAAGCGGGGTTACTGAGGAGGCGAGCACGGTGCTGACCTGGCCAGAAAGGCCGAGAGAGAACACGTGAGGAAAAATAAAAGCATCGGAGAGGTTGGGGCCAATATTCTCCCTGGTGTGGCCATGGGTTCTGGGAACTGAAAGGTTTGGGGGGGTTTGTTCCCCCTGTCCCTCAAAATAGCAGCACTTGAAACAGAACAGCCACTTTCGTGACACAGCGAGCGTGACATCAAGGCAGGAGCACTAATTTAAGTTAACCTGCACAGTTCCTCTGCAAGTTGGCTTTTCAGTGTTGTCCTGGAAGCATGGTCTGCGCCCTCAGCATAAGCCTTATTTGAGTGTTTCACAGTTTGAATACAGAACGCGGGTTTTCCAGCTGGTTTCCCGCAGAGCTGCAGCCTACCCACTGTCCTTCACTCATCAGGATTTCAGACGATTCCCTGTGGTGATGCAGGCATGTCGGACTGCAGGCCAGGCCTGGCACGATGTGGAGCAGCTCCTTGGCCACCTGCTTCTTTGCCTGGGCAGGTTTGTGGATGCAAATCAGGGATCTTACTTGCTGTTTGCAAGCCTGAAGTCACTGTGAGCTCTGCATTTCAAGAGTGTGGTCATGTGTGAAAGACTCACACTGCATAAAGTAGTATTTCATAAGTAGGGAAATTAATCTTGACTATCTTGGCTGCCTTGATTGTGGATTAAGCACTGGAAAAATGCTGCTGTACCAGGCAGAGCCCTCCAGTGGCAAGGGGGGACATGAGAAACAACTGTCCTTTAAACACACAAAGGGTGGCTGTGGCAGTCTGCCTGTGCTGCTTGGACTCTGATCGAGGCCAAAAGTCTTGAAGCTCCGGTTAATGCTAGAAGATGAGTAAAGCTGACTGCCCCTCCTGCCTGCACGTAGGCTTAGGTGGCGTTGCGGGAAGGCAGCTCCTCACTCCCTGTGCAGCATCAAGGATCATGCTGCTTGCCTCTCCCCAGCATGGGGCACTTCCCACCTGCTCCCAATAAGTGCCTGATACCAGTGCTAGACTGCCAGCACACGGGGATGTGAGATCTGCTGTACTCAGCCCCTCTTGGATGGACTTGTTCTTTGCTGTTTTTTTAGGCTTAGCATACAATTTGCTGGATGAGCCATGGAAAATAGAGCTGTGTGTGAGAAACTGCCTGCCTTTGCCAACGAAAGCTGTTCTTCGCCGTCTCTGTCCCCAGAGTGCTTAAGAAAGTAATCCAATAGCATAAAGTTGAAAAAATAGTGAGTGAGGCACACGGCTAATGTTGTGCATGCTGTTGTTTTCTCCCCCCACCACCCGTGATCGCAACACCTTTTTTTTAACTATTACAGAGGTGCAGGGATTACTGCTGGGAAATATCAGTTAATCATTCCAGGGATATTTGTTTTCAATGACAGGTGTATTTATGTCTGTTGAAGGTTGTTTTGAAAACAAGTCTGATCCAGACTTTAACAAAGCAAAGCTGTAAAATCCAAAGATGGCAGCTATTTTTGTGCTGGCAGCACATAGGAATCTGGTTCAATCCGTCAGTAAATTCAGCTGGTGCTGTCCTGTCTGCCTTCCCTCCTGTGTTACTGGCCTCTAGCAGGAAAAGCCAAACAGGCTACCTGGTCCTGAACTGTCACAGTCCTCAGGATGGCGCTTTTCTGAAAGGTGAAACGGGCACAGGAACATCCTAACAGCCTGGACAGATGTTGGTGGTATATACCCCATCTGGCCTTCCTTCCCTGTCAGCTGCAGAGGGAGGTGGACTAAAACTAAGCTGCCCTGTGCAGTGAGTCAGAGCTCGACGAGAAAAGGTTCCCGACGCACCAAGTGCTGCACAAGCACACGAGAAGCGGACTTTGGCTTTGTGGCTAGACACAGCTACAGCCAACCTGATCTTGTGCTGGCAGTAGTCCTGCATCTGGAGACCTCCAGAGGTCCTTCCAGCCAGCACTTGCAGGGTGCCAACTCTGGGAGAGCATTATATACAGGAAGGAAAGGTTTCCATTTTGTATTTTGGCTCCACTGGGAAATGGATGCAAAGGGAGATAAACAATCTTGCTGCAGTTAGGCAGCACAGATGGTGTGCAGTAAAACTGAGAATTTAACTCGGTCCTCGTCGGTCCCAGACCATCTCTTTTAAGTGAGAGCTGAGCAAGTCCCTTGGAGTCAGAATTTTTAAGGGAAGAATGTTACCTTTTTTTCTGGCAGAAAATTTAGTAATTTTCAGATCACTTCAGATTCAAAAGTAGTCAGTTTTCTGCACTTCCCTCCTGCATCCCTCCTGCTCTCTTGCTTCCCTGGGAGAGCAGCTTGAGCACCAAGCCAGGAGCGAGCTGTGCCTTATGCTGACCAGGTCATCCCTCTGCAGTGGCTGGGGAGTGGGATCCAGGCATTGGCTGGGGTGCAGAATCGCAGCCCGCAGCTTAGGGTAGCTGTACACCTGGGAGGACCTCGCTGGCCCTGCCAGGCAGCTGTCTAGCTTCATGTGTGACTGTCCGCTGCCCCACAAGCTGCAAGGCTATTTTCCTGTGCTCCAGAGCTGTACTATGGCACCAGGAGGCCACATAAGCTTACGGTGACCACGATGACCTTTCTCTGCTCTCCAAATTACAGTCTAGTGACCTGCAGTAGAGTTTTGCTTTTCTCAGCTTTCAGACCACAAGGCCGGAAATGACTCCTTCCATCGGAGCACATTTGCTGTAGTCTCAAAGTAAGATGTACCCCTCTGAGGCCAGCATCTTGAGAGAGGCTGCATAGGGGAAACAGCCTGTGTCATTTCTGTCTCTCTGTTCTTGAGAATGTTTTTTATGGGCCCTGAAAAAACAAAAACGCCCCAAGACCCGTGCTTTGGAGGGAAGAGACATGTGACTTGAAATCAGCATGTGGTTCCAGGGAGTCCTTAAACCTGTGCAAAACCAAGCTTTGCTTCTCATTGCCAGTGAGGCAAACGATGTGCCAGGCCATGTGAAGAGATGCAGATCGAGGGACGCTATTATCCCCTCTGCTGGGCATCCATGGGGAGGGATGCAGAGAAGCTGGAGGGGGGGCAGCAAACAGCTCTAAGCAGGAAGGGGTGAGGGGCATGTGGCCTGTAGGCAGAGCTGGCAGGAGCCCGGCTTGGCTCGCCTGGCTGAGGGGAAGCAGGAGGGGGGTTTAACATCAGCCTAAAACTGCTGGTTTAGGGCAGCTGCAAATCGCTGAAGGCTCAGCTGACACAATGAGGGGCAACAACCCCACGGCACTGGGGATGTAGTCAGCACAACTCCTTCGCCAGCAGCCCTGGGACAAAGCACCAGGGAGGTTGGGTGATCCCTGTCCTAGGGAAGGGGTTTTAGCTGTGGCCACATGAAGACTGGGGGGGGCTGGGAGAGCAGGGCTTGGGCCGAGACCCCCTGAGCACCCTGGTGCTGCTGCAGCCCTGCAAACTGCGGACCACGTTCTGGCTTTATCCAACCCTTGGCGGCACGGTGGGGAGGATTGGTAATTTAGGCCTGTCTCTGAGAGATAGCCAATGAAATGTATCTTGGACTAATTAGGCTTTAGGGCTCAGGAACTCCGTTCCAGTTGCCTGGCCTCTGTTTTGACCCCTTTTTTCTTTGAAGTTCACAGAGAAGAGGGGAAAGGAAATGAGAGGAGAGGCCCTGCTTTTCCTGTAAAATGCCTTATTCCTTATAAAGTCGTTTGGCAGAAATCTCTTTCAGCTGGACAAGCTGACTACTTCAATATATGCCTGCAGTCATTTTCCTCCCTTGACTCGTTCCTCTGGCTGCTCAGTCATTGCATCAGTAAAACTGTGGATGAACAGACAGAAATACGCCTCGAAGAGGTAGCAGAGAAGATCTCCAAAAGCGTGTTAGGGGGCTCTGAGCTGCACCAGCTGCATTATTTCCTCAGCTAGCTGGAAGTGCACAGTACCACACAGTACAGGGGGGCCAGCTCCAGCTCGCCTCCCGGTTGTCAGACCTTTCTTCCAGGCAAGCCTGCTGGGACACACAGCTTGCTAGGCCGTGGAGAAACCACACCAAACATCCTCCCTCCCGCGTTAATGTTGCACGAGGAGGAAAGCAGCCCAGGCATGGTGAGGGAGAGGCACATAGTGCCTCAGATCTGTCCTGGGCACTAGGGATGTTTCAGAGCACAGAACAGCCAAAAGCCCCAAAGGAAGGCAGCCATATTCCCTTCCCTCCCACTGTAATGCAGAATCACCAGGAGGTTTTGCCAGGAAGGCATCTCTGGAGGTCTGTAGTCCAACTCTCCACTCCAAAGCTAGATCAGGTTGTGCTGGGCCTTGTCAAGTTGAGTTCTGCGCACCTCCAGGGATGGAGA